GGATGGAGCTGCGGGGAGGCTGAACAGGGCTGGAGGCAGCATCCCTTCCGCTGTCTTCCCACTACACCCCTGCACCGCTGTTCTCTGCTTTTCAAAGCCCCCAGAGACTCAGCTGGCATGAAGTGCCTGGGGCCATGTCCCTGGGATGGGACTCTGGTAGGGAGCCTGGGTCCTGCCCCTCGCCCCTTGCTTCCTGTGCAGCCGGGTCCTGCATGCAGATAGGGCTTTCCTAAGAGGCTGCAGAAAGTCCAAGGCGTCCGTCTGTCCTCTGCCAGCTGCGGGGCCCCTGCCCCTGCCTGCACCGAGCCATGCCGGAAGGCTGTCACACAGCTGAGGAAAGGCCACTTCAAACAGTTTGTCCTAGAGCTGGATCAGGAGGATGCTCCTGGTTAACCCCTCCGAGCCACTTCCCCTCCGAGACACTTCCCCTCCTTACAGTAGTGCCCAAGAGTGCATTTCCCCTTCCTGGGGCACTCCAAACCTCCACCCCCCTGCCCTGTGGCTCTGCAGCACCTCAGAAACCTCCCTGTGGCTCCCTCACTGCTCCCACTTGCTGCTTGGTGGTCTCACAGGGCTGGGGCAGAGGGTGCTGGGCAGACCGGCCCCATGGCCCAGGGAGCAGGGCAGGCTGCTGCCTCCTCCCTAATCCCATGGGACCAGGATGGGGTCACAGGAAGCTTAATGATGTGGCTGGCACTGTGCTGGCACAGACCCCTGGGGTCCCTGGCACTTGTGTGGGCACCCATCCACCCCTCTGCACCCCAGCCAGGGTCTGGCATCCCACCCTGCCAGCATTCATGGGGCAGGCAGGGCACACGTGTGGGGCTTAGGGATGTGCAGGGTGCACTCGGAGCAGGGCCAGGAGGAGAAAGGATGCTGTCTGTTTTTCCATCTTCTCCAACCCCACAAGCCCCCCTTCCTTTCATCCTCCCCCCTGTGCTGGGATGAAACAACCCCATCTGGAAATACCTTCCCTTTTAAAGGCAGGCTCCGCTGGGTAGCGTACACCCTCCGGGAAGCCGCTGCTTTATGCTGTGACTTGGCGGCTGGGAGATGCTCCAGGGATGGGGGGCTTGGGGAAGGCACCCTAGATGCATGGCATAGAGCCTCTGTGCTCCTGCATAGCCATGGGGCCCAGACCCTTGCTGGCCATCCAGGTGTCAGAGGGATGGCAGGGAGCTGGCAGGAGAGCATGCCAGAGCCAGGGCGGCTGAGGATGCTGCCATGACCAAGCCTAAGTCTTTGCCATGGCGGTGCTGACATGGGTGAGCCCTGGCATCAGCCCGGTGCAGGGCCTGGAGGTGTGAGACCAGGCAGGGCTAAGCACTGCTGAGTCACCCTGTCTGGTGGCACGACGGTCCCCTCTGTCAGGGTCTCCAGCGACAGAGGTGCTGGGGACGTGCCAGCTGATGTCAGCCAAAACAGCCTGGCATGGGCATGGGTGGGTGTCACCAAGTGTGCCCTGGGGAGGAAGGGGTGCTGCCCAGACAAGGGGCAACCCCCCGAGGGGATCCCCCAGCTCAGTGTCCCTCCATCAGTATGTCCTTTTTAGCTGGAACAGGTTTGTGTGTGGCCCCGGGGGTTCCTGTCCTGGCCCATCACCTCTCCAGGAGGTGGGAAGCTGTGGTGAGGGTCCTGGGGTGAACCGAGGTATTTCCCTTTCTGTAAAGGTTTAGGGGATTGGGCTGGGTTCTCTGCTCCCCAAAGAACTGCTGGGCCAGGGGGAAGGCTGAGGAGACAGGGCAGAACCTGCAGCACCCTGGGGTGACCTGGGGACCTTGTCCTGCTATGGGGGTGATGGGGACCAGGGAGAGGCTGGGGGTGCTCCAGGCCGGGGCCCCACCC